AAGCTTTTATCACGAATAGGAGGGAGAAAAGAGATGCTTCACTTCACAAAAAAGGAAGTCGGGAGGGGTTATTTGTGAAGATGTGTGATTCTCCAAAGCAAAGTAACTGCCCAAGCATAGTGGACCGGTCTCCACCGTTTAACAGATATTAATGTAATTACTAAAGTTTATGTATAAATGAAAAATGTTAGCACGAATTCTAAAGAGATCAAGCTCTTCGAAGGGACTCCATTGTTTCTGATTAGAATTCCATACAAAAGATTATCAAACGATCGAGTAGCTTAGCTCGCTTTCCCAGACGATCGAAAATCCCATCAAACTTTAGCAACTGCTCGAATCAGCTTACCCCCAAAATTGATCAGGAATCATGAAACCGATAGTTGAAAGTAAAAAACAGTTGTTTATATCTAATGGTTGCAACATTCATGTAAGTGGCGCTCATGCAATTATTTGTATTAGAGATAGGGTTATATTAACTACCCATTGTTAGGAAAAAGACAAGAAATACCCTATAATCGTTGAGATAAAGGGGAAAATAATGTAATTCTAAATTCAAGCAAGCAGTGATTATAAATAAGAGTTGTTTTATGAATAAATGTTGCACACTCTTCTTCCTGGATTTCCATTTTGTCCCGTGTCCTCTCTATTCTTTTTCTTCCATCTCTTTTTCGTACTCTAAACTCTCCGGACGTGCCTACTACGATAATTTTGGATCCAACAATTTAGATGTTATATAATGTGAAAATGTTGTTTTTTAGTTTGTGGTTTGGTGTTTGTATGTTTATTTGAGCTTCTTGGTGGTTGTTTTTCTTAGTTATTCTTTTGATTCATATTCTTGTTCTGTATCAAAGATGTAATATTGCTTTCCTTTTGTTTACTGGAGTTGAAATTATGGAAAATTTGAGTCACCACCTTTTAATAATTTATGTGCAATTATATAATAATATTTTGTTACAATTTCTTGTTGGTGATATTTTGCTACCCTTAAAATATTTGAATCATTCTACTTTTAAGTTTTTGGGTTTGTTGTGACCCAAAAAAATTATCTTTACTAATAATTATTTTATATGAGACGTACTGATTCAATGCTGACTTTTAGGTGGCAAGGATTGGACTTCCATGTTTGTAATTTCAATGAAAAGTTTATGAATATATGAGAAAGGGGTTACAATTATTTGAATTATTCTTTGGCATATAAATATTTGATATGTTTCTTATATTAATATTAGGAATTTATAGCTATGACTATTGTTAAAAATGGTCATTATGAAGTATATTTTTATTTGTTATATTTTCTCTTATTATTTTCTTCTACTCCGTACATATTGACACTCTTGTATTAACAATTATTTAATTTAATGTAGGGTTAGAGAAGAAAGTGCCCATAACCTAAGGGTATATATATATATATATATATATATATATAGTCAATAACTATAAAAAATAAAATAAAATCAAAATTTTGCATGGTTTAGTTGAGATAAACCCATACCGACAATTACATAGAGATCAAATAATTCGTTAGTCTCAAAAGAGATATACGATAAAGTATGCTTCATACAAAATTAAAGATATGAATATAAGTAACACTATATCTAGCTGAGAGAGAAAAACACATTGATCACCTCGTGCAAAGATGAGACCAAATTTCTTTTGAAAAGAAATTGAAAAACTTTGCTTTCAAGCACTTAAAAGACTTATTTCTTTCTTTCTCATATCATTGACAGTTTCTATGCAGTGGCATATCCAATTTATTGAACTTATATATGAAATTTATAACATATGTCAGTAAAATTGACAAATAATTTTTAAGTTTTAAATTAATTCAATTAAGTATTGTTGCGTGTTAGAAAATTTATTATGGTAGAGTGATAAATTAGTAACATGGCATGAAATTCATCACACATACTGATAATAGAAGTGGGATGTATAAGCATCAGAAATTACCGGTCATGAAGGTAGTCCACCCAACACAACCAGAGACCCTTGTCAGCAATCTGTGAAATGTGTCGCCCAAGGAGACATCAGTCGTCCTAAAGTCAAAAGAAGGAAACTCTGAGTTTTATGACTTATTAAGATAGAGCTCATAGAGGTGGAACTTATACTCAACAAATAAATAATGAAGAGGCCGCGAGAAGGAAGATAAAAGAGAGATCCAGCTACAAAGCTGAAAACATTTTTAACAAAAGACTAACTCCTCGTGTTGGTAGAGGAAGCCTCTAACACCCTAATCGCACCAGACAACCACATAAGTAGAAATCTATGTTGGGTTAGTCAGTTTGAAAAAGCTTGGGGGCTTCTTCTCGGAACAGACAAGTATGATACAATTATCTGACACAATACTAAGAGTGAAGCCTCTATTAATATGATTAGGGTGAAAACCGTGTTATGCAAACCATTTTAAAATAGACCCAAAGGCCATGCAAAAAGTAAAGTGTAGGTTTTAAAATCTTGTAATATTTTTACCCTAAAATTTTGATTAATCTTGATCATTTATTTATAGAAAAAATAATCCTTAAGAAGATTAAATTATATCGCAAGGTTCTCAGATAGACCACAAGCAATAATAGCGAAAAAAAGTCAAGCACACTGCTTAAAGTAAAAACAAACCAAAAGGTGAAGTAATAAACACATGTTTTGGGTGTCGTTGGGTCGACAACATATTTTATAAAATCACAAAATTGGTCAGTCTCCGCATATACATGGCTGATCCTAATGTTATACATAAAAAAAAAGAATTAAGATACAAAACATGAATATATGCTCATGGTCCCTGTCATATGGTTCCATGCCTCAAGCACCTTAGAACTCGTATCCATATCATATTTCCACTGCAGAACTCTCCCAGGACTCTAAAAAGTACATATAAAAGTCCAAAAAAAAGACTCGACCTGTATGAAAATTATGTTAGAAAAAAGTCATCTACATGCAACTTATTGAACCATGTTCAATGGAAGGAGAGCTAAACATTACCTGCAAGCAAAGGGTAAATTTTAAATCATTACAACTTTTCTCTATTGCACATGACTCTCTGCAAGAAGACCACCCCTCATATGCTAGTGCGCAAGTCTCGAACCCAGGGGACACACAAAAAGCACAAAAGGTGATGTCTGGCTAGAGAAACCAAATTAGCTAAGAACTATAGCCAGGACATTGAAAAGACTACCTAGCATTCTAATCCTAGCATAACACTCTATCTACCATAGTGTCCTATCATAAAATCTAAGTTTGTGCACAGTGCAAGGGTAAAGCCATGATAGATAACTTTAACAGGGTTGTCACACCGGTCTCACTCTAAAGTTCCAAGGTATCTAAAGTATGTCACTAAAGAGGGTGACATTTTTATAGTAAGTGGCATCACATATGACATAACCTATTTAATTTTAAAAGTAAGACAATAATGCATAATAGAAAAATATCTATTTTATATTGTAAAGTAGGACCATTAAAAAGTAGAATCCGTAACATGCAAGTGACGTAGTTTAGAGTCCTTGGAATCTTAGCATAGTAATACACAAATTATTCATAATACAAAAACTTACATTGCTCGCCGAGCTATCCTCGCGAGCAATTCTCGTTTAGGTATTATGACCAACAAATCGGTTGCTCATCATAACAAGTAGGATATGCCATCAAGGCAAATGAGCAATGTGCATGCAAGAATAAAAAGATCGCCAAAGAGATAATTAATGCTGCCCTTGCAAGGAAGAAAGTTGTTATTTAGGAATTGCAGATTTTCTTCTTCTTTCCTCCCAAAACAGGCCTAACCTTTCTTTTTTTCTTCCACATAGAGCTTCATTCTCCTTCAATCACCTTTGCTTGTCTCTTCTGTTTGCCATTCTTTCTCTTGCCTCCATGAAATCTAGCTTTCGTCAAACACTTCTGTGCACACATTACCTTGACTGGCTGTCAGATCAGCTTCCATTCAACAATGTTGAAACATTATCTTTCTTTCTTCGTGCTTCATCCAATTGCAAGTGTTAGCTTCTTTATTCTTTCACCCAAATGGGCCTCTACGCTCCTAATCTGCTATTGCAATGTGGAATATTGCTAAATTTTTATGTAGGTTTTAGGTCACGACTCTGGATACTTTCGAAGTCTAATAGAGAGGCCACGTGTAAAGTGGACCCACCGTAATATACTGTGATTGATCCACTTTACACGTGGCCCTCTATTGTATTCTGAATGCATCCGAAGTCATGACCTAATATTTTTTCTCGAAAGAATATGCTTTTGGCTACACAATCATACATTCTCATTATTTTTGTTACATGCTCAAGTTTGAGGGCAAAATCATTATGGATGGGCCGTTAATGATAAAATATTAAGAATATGAGATAATTAGCTCTGTAAGATTTGTATTTAAGTTATTAAATATAGTTAATTGGTGAATTCATATTTTTTGTTTTTCATAAATAATTCTTATTAGAGACATGGAAAGCAAGGAAAACATGTGGAATGTTCTTCCCCTATATGTGTTTTCTTATTCTTTAGTATTTTCTTTATTTTTTTGGAGTTGTTGGTATCCTCAAATTATCATTTATCTTTCTAAAATTTTTGTTTCTCTCTTTTTTATCCTTCCCCATCTTTCTTATTTTTGCAGTTGTCAGTGAGACTTGGAAAAAATATTACATCAAGAGATCTAATATAAAATTATATCAGGACTTTAATCACAATATGTCACGCGTACGGTTTAACCCTGTCATGCATTAAATTATGTAGTTTTTAGTATTTAGTGAGGCTAGATCATACACGCGACGCATTGTAATTGGAGTCTTGATACAGTTTTGCATCATGACTCTTAATGTAATATTTTTTTTGAGATTTGGAGTTATAGTTTATGCTAGTGGTTTGAACAAATCATATTTTTTTCTGTTCCAATGGAGACTATTTATAGGATGCAAGCATTATTAATTAATTAATAATAATTTTTAACTTGTTAATTACATTTATTAACCTAACTATTAAGATTATCATCTCATTATCTCATATTCCCAATAAGCCGCGAGAGAAAAGCAGTTTTTGGAAGCCGCCCGCAGGATGCCCTAGGCCCAGTTCGCGATACCACGCCAGCTTTCGCCAAAGCAGAAGAACGCAGGTCAAAAGTTCCCTCTTACGTCCCGCCTCCTATCCTCCGGACACACAACGGCTGTTGCCTCCTGCGAACGACTACAGGTTTCGATGACTCATCTCCGCGCCGTGTTCTCATGCACTAGCTGATTTGTGTACCCTGAAGAGAAATCCTAGAGGCGAAGGTGTTCAACTGCAGTCATGGACGAGGATCAGGAAATGGAGCGCTTCGATATGGAAAACGACTATGAGGGCGGCCGATGGATTGGGGACGAGTACTACTACCGATCTAAGAAGGAGAAGAGGATGCAGACCAAGGAGGACACTATCTATGGCTCATTCGCTGCCCGTTCCTCCGACTCCGACTCAGATGGCCGCCTATCTAGGAAGCGGAGCAAGCGGGACCTAATCAGAAAAGCAGATTTCTCCAAGCCCGTTCAGTTCATCTCCACAGGTACCGTCATGCCCAATCAGGAGATCGAGAACAACGCCGAGGAGAACGCCGCCCCTGAAAATGTTAATCCTAGTTCGGGCCTAGGGTTCGGGTTGGGCTTCCAATCCGATCCTGATAGGATGGGAGAGGACGATGAAGACGAGTACTTCCTCCCTACAGCGTTTGGCAGGAAGATAAAAGAGGCAGCACAGAGGAGAGAGAGGGAGAGGGAGGAGATGGAGAGGGTGAAACTAAGGTCTGAGAAGAAATCAATTGGGAGAAAAGAGACTGGTTCGCTTAATGCACTGGGGAAGTTCGAGAACCATACCAGAGGAATTGGATTGAAGCTTATGGAGAAGATGGGTTACAAATTGGGTACTGGACTGGGCAAATCTGAGCAAGGCATCACCGTTCCCATTGAAGCAAAGTTGCGCCCCAAGGGCATGGGCATGGGTTTTAATGATTACGAAGAGGCAAAGTTGCCAGCTTTAGATGAGGCTGTTAATGAGGGAAAGGCAGTGGCAACTGTGGCTGCCAGCAGGCCTAGAGAAAAGAGATGGTTGAAGCAGAAACAAGGAAAAAAGAAATTAGAGTTTATGACAGCTGATGAGCTACTTGCAAAGAAGCAGGAGCAGGGGCTTGAGGTTTTTCAGCAGAAGATTCTTGATATGAGAGGACCACAGGCTAGAGTACTTTCCAATCTTGAAAATTTGAATGCTGAGGTAGAGGCGAAGGAGAACCAGGTGCCTATGCCTGAACTCCAGCACAATGTTAGGCTGATTGTGGATATGGCCGAGTCCGATATACTTAAGATTGACAACCAGTTAAGAAGGGAGAGAGAAAATGTCGTGAGTTTGCAGAAGGAGAGAGAGAAGCTGCAGAAGGAAGCTGCTATACAGAAGCAGCAACTGGAGGCAATGGAGACTATTGCAAAGATAGTGAAACAGGTTGAGGATGATAACATGTCTGGTATCTTGACAATGGAATCACTTTTGAGGGCATTCAGTGATTTGAAAGAGAGGTTTGCAGAGGATTATAAGTTATTCAATATTTCCTGCATTGCTTGTTCTTTTGCCATCCCACAACTTATCAGAGTCTTTCAAGGTTGGGAGCCTCTACAGAATCCGTTGCATGGACTGGCCGTTATATCTTCATGGAGAGATCTTTTGCAGGGTGATCAGCCTTTTGATTATTCAGATGGTGTAGTTTCCAGTTCTCCATATGCCCATCTGGTAGGTGAGGTAATCCTGCCAGCAGTCAGGATATCAGGGACTAATAGTTGGCAGGCAAGGGATCCAGAGCCAATGTTGCGGTTTGTAGAGTCATGGGAGAAGTTGCTTCCTCCGGTCATCCTTCAATCTATCTTGGAGCATGTTATAATGCCAAAACTTTCTATGGCTGTGGATTCCTGGGATCCTCGCAGAGAGACTGTACCTATTCATGTTTGGATACATCCATGGCTGCCTCTACTTGGTCAGAGATTAGAGGATTTGTACCATAAAATTCGGTTTAAGTTGGGTAACGTTCTTCATGCTTGGCATGCTAGTGATGCTTCTGCTTATGCTATCCTTTCTCCTTGGAAGGATGTTTTTGATGCAGCCAGTTGGGAGAATCTTATTGTACGCTTCATTGTCCCAAAGCTAATGAGTGCGTTGCAGGAATTTCAAATTAATCCAGCTAACCAGATACTGGATCAATTCAACTGGGTTATGACATGGGTTTCTGTTATCCCAATTCAACATGTAGTCAATATGTTAGAAGTTGGTTTTTTCAGCAAGTGGCAGCAGGTTCTGTACCATTGGCTGTGCTCAAATCCTGATTTCAATGAGGTAATGCAGTGGTATATGGGTTGGAAGGGTCTTTTTCCACCAGAATTACTTGCCAATGAGCGGATTAGAGTGCTGTTCAGTTCTGGTCTGTCTATGATGAACCAAGCTTCAGAAGGTATCGAGTTGATTCAACCCGGGGCTCGTGAGAATACAAGTTACTTACGAATTGCGGATAGGAGGCAGTTTGGAGCTCAACAAACAGCAGGATACTCGGTTCATCTGCATACTTCTGCAGCTTCTGTCAATGGGTTTTCTAGGGATGGTGGTGGAGCAAATTCTGAAATGAGTTTGAGAGAGATTATTGAGGATTATGCCGTAGACCAGGGTTTGATTTTTGTTCCTAAAGTTGGAAGATCACATAATGGCCTTCCAGTGTATGGTTTTGGCAGTATAAGTATCTGCATAGACTCTGTGAAGGAAGTCCTATACGCACAGGGATTAGATGGATGGGATGTTGTGTCGCTTAATCAGCTGATGCAGATGCAACATACTGGCAGACACCGTTGAATCACTTACTTATGTGGTATACATTATAGGTTTAGTTGACTTTTGAAGTCTTAATCCTGGTTGTTTTTGCTCAATACAATTTACATGGCAATTATGATGTTCGCCTTAATTGGTTCATAGTTGTTATGCCATTGCTTAAGCTGAAATCAATTTTGATGTTCATCTCTTATGGATTGTGTAAATCTGCTGTAATTAGAATGTTTCGGTCATTTAAAGGACCCATTCAATATGAGATTGGGAGAACCTGCGTTTAATGTATAGAGTAGATTTCTTTCTAATGCAATATTTATGATACATTTTTGTTTTTGCAAGGTAGGCCTATAATGACATTGTTTTATTTTCTCCCATTTACTGGTTTTCAAGATGCAAAGATTTTAAAAGGCAAAAGATTTTAAAAGAATAAGATACTGAAGATTTTTGGACTGTTTGGTGAGGTAGATACCAAAGTTCTTGGTGTTTTGTGGCCTACATATCTTTTTGTGATGTAGATGCAGTACATGTTATATCTTCATAAATATATACTAATGGATGATATTATGTAATCATGTATTATGATTCAACAGGACACATTGATTTTAAAATGGTTTAACCCTGCCACTTTAGTTAGATTTCTGATAAGACGGTTGACTTTTACCTTTAACACTTTAAAACATCCACTCTCCTAATTGGATCATCAGATGGTTGACTTTTAATGTGACCCGAACCATCTAAGATGACTCTCTAGTCTTGTCTGCCAACCCTTTCACGAATACATTCGTTTCACATTTTGTTTATAAGTGTTAAGCCACTCATCCACCTAGGCATTTTCATCTAGCAACACTTAACTCAGTTTTATGCTTCTCTTTTATAGGCCAACATTCTGCGACATAAAGCATTGTAGGTCTCATCCCCAACTTATAAATTTTTTCTTTATTACAGTGTCTTGTATTCAAAAAAATGCTAGCCATTTATTTGATCTTTGATAAGCCCTAAGATTCCGTGTTAAAATGCATGGAAGAGATACCCTGCCCTTGATGGAGAGTATTTTAAAGGTAAAATTCTGATCCTTCAGCAAAACTAGATGCTCTACTCGTCTTCCTTTATTTTATGTGCTTGATTTCTAAGGTTGAGCTTGGAATGTAGACGTCAAAATAGGCATTTAGTCCATATTTTATGTGCTTTTGAACTTAAGTTAGGGTTTGTTTTGCTGCTTGCTTACAGCATGTTTTCATTCATGCATTTTAAGGATGCAGAGTAATTAAATACATGCACATTAAGAATGAATGCATTGTTTAATTTGTTGTTAAAATAATACGGGAAACCACATTTTTCTGTTTGGTTGTGGGTGCAAAGTAACTGCTGGAGGGGAATTGGAAGGCAATGCTGATGAGTGGAGGGGCCAGTGGATGTCATCAACAGTGGCTTTAGTTAAGGGCAATGTGAGTGCAAGACGAAGTAATCTAAAGGGGTGGGGGATGTTTTCAATGATGCGAGGTGGTCTGTGTGGGTTGCTGATGATGAAGAATGGAGATGGTCAATGGGATCAGGCTTGAGCGATGCATGCATCAATTCTATGCATTTTGAATCAGTTGATTTTGAAATTATTGGAAAAATAAGAGTTTTGAGATATTCAACTTGACGCTTTTGAATTTCTTCTGCTTTAAAGCAAACAACTAATAAGTTAAATGCATGTATAGACAAAACACAGTACACCCCTAATACATGCAACCAAACAAACCCTTGAGAACTTAAAAATTATAATAAATATATCATCAACTTTCAGATGTACTTAACTTTAACAACTCTCCTTGCTCTCTCGTGATTCAGAAATGTTTGCCTTCTATTCTTGATCTACTGGTGCTTAACATTCTGTATTGTGAACGAGGAACTTATTTTAGAATTGAAGCAGTACAGAGTTAGTCTAGAATTGTTCCTAGGAGCATACATAAGATGTATCATGTTCGTATGGCTGTTCGGGCTTAAGTGAAGTACTAGTTTTGCTTAGATGTCACAGCCCTTCTACCCTAAAAGAATTAACTATGGTTTTCAGGTCATTATTGTAAACCATTTCATGGCTTTCTTCTCTTCTCAGTAGTACTTATGGTTCTGTTTCCTCTGACATGCATTTCATGTCTAAAACCAAAATTTTAACTCAATCATTTTGTGAGATGTTCTATGCTGATCTTATATAGTGATAGTTACAAATCTGTCAATTTTTTTTGTTTTATCAAGAAAAGGGAAACTTATGATTAAAATAGCTGTATCAATCTGCAAACCAATGGCCTCCAAATAGAATAAAGGTTCAGGTACAGGTTAATAAATGCTATCCTTGTAAGTCATAATCCATTCTTTTTGTATGAATTGACAATTGTCATACTCGTCATTCCTTCATCCTATTTTGTGCTAAAGAAGTAACAATTATACATAACTCGTAGTTTTATGTATCAACATTGAAGAATGAAGGCAACACAACAACAACAACAAACCTTTATCCCACTAAGTGGTGTCGGCTACTTGAATCCTTTTTCTCCATAGTGTCCTATTGAGTGTCATAGCTTCATTTAAGTAGTAGATTAAGATAACTTTTTATACAATGTGCCTAAGTTTTTTTAGGTTTACCTCTGCATTTCTTAACATAAGTTGAAGCTAAAGCATCTACTCTCCTAACTGGATTATCATGGTCGATGTTTAATGTGACCAAACTGTCTAAGACGACTCTCTCTAATTTTGCAGCGGCTTGGCGATGATGGCGGCTGCTGCGACAACTCGACAGTGACGGCGATGGGCGGTGAGCTGCGGGCGACAGGCTAAACGAAGAATTGTTTTGGTGTTTTAAAAACAGACGAAAATATGTTTTTTCTGTTTTTAATATTTTAAAAACAGAAGTGTCCTCCAAAAAAAAAACAGAAATAAAATAAAAAATAGACAAGCAAACACTATTTTTATGTTTGTTTTCAATTTTTTGTTTTCAAAATAAAAAAATAAAAAATAAAAATTGAACCCAAACAAGCCCTTGTTGAACCTTTTGATTCAAAATCCCAAAGACCATATTGAACCTCTTTTGATTCAAAAGCCCAAAAACCATTTATTGATTCATAAAACTTTTACCCCTATCAACACAATATCAACTAGTTCCCAACCAACCTACTCCACCCAAAAATATCTTTCCATTTCATAGTAACTTTTTACACCAATCATTATTCTTTGAATAATATCTCCTTTGTGGACATGTTGTCACCCCTTTCTCATGCATTCACTTGTTAAACCGGCGTCTAAGGGCAATTTAGTCTTTTTATTAGTTATTATTGTGCGATATAAATAGAGCCTGTTACGCTTATGGTTAGGTTAGATTATGCATGTGTGATTGTTGTCTTGAATCTTAGGGCTAGGATTTGAGAGAGATTGCTCATCTCTCGAACTGTAGGTGCTTATCTTTTATTTATTTGAGCCTCTGTATGTCGCAATCTCTAATCTCTATGTAAAACTCTACTTGTTCCTATCAAATTCGTATTTGAGCATTCAATTCTGTAAATGAAAGATGGGATCACAGTGTTTTTACAAATTTTTTGTGATTTGAGATAGTTGTGAAATTGATCGGATCGTGGTGTACAAGATCCGTGGAATCAAGAGTTGGGAAGCTTATGTTGGGATCGCAGTGTAAAAGATCTATCGTCCCGACGGTAACCTCACCATACAGTTGCGATTAGAGCTAGCTGAGAAGGCTACGTCGGGATCGTGATGTACAGAGACCCACAACTCCCATCTTTCTCCTTCCGCTCCGAACTCCTCGATATAGTCGCGATTTGAGATAGTTGGGAAGCTAATGACGGGATCATCGCTTAAAGGAGTTCCGAAACAATATAAAAAGTAATGACAACCAAAAAAGTAGATGATTTGGAGAAGAAACTGGAGGAAAAGATGAGCCAAATCAAATTGGGAATGGATGAGCGTTTCTAGTCCATGGATGAGAGAGAGATCGATGATGTTGGAAGAAATGATGAAAAAGATTGCATAGTTCCACACAAACTTCTCGTCGCCTACACCGTGATTGAGTGTCGGAATAAGACGAAATGGAAATAACACAACATTTGGATAGCTGGACTGTGCGCTAGCAGGCGGAATGGGACGGCGGGCGATTTGGGGTTGGAGAAGAGCGATTCGAAGGAATTCAACCTGGAACATGGAACCACGGTGGATGGGAACCCTGTTGAGGGCTACTTCTAACCACGTCAGTGCCTTTTATTGTGACAACCTTTCGACAAAAGACAATTTAGGAACCCATGGGGATGGGCGAACTGAGTATGGGGCTAGCCAACTTTATGGAAGAAAGAAATAAATATGGGGTGAGGAAGGGAGCCCAACTCTTGCTTTATGGGTCAAATGAACTGTGATCGAGGAAATTGGGGATGAGACTTACACATAAGGAAGTTGAAGATGCCGATCTTTGAAAGAGAGGATGCATATAGTTGGGTTTATCACGTGGAGCGATACTTTGCTGTTAGTAAGGCTGACGTAGGAAGAAAATATAATCGCGGTGACCTCGTATTTGGAAGGGAAGGCTTTAACATGATGTTAATGGAGAGAATGTCCAACCAATCAGAGTATGAGAAGAATTCAAGGACCAATTGTTGGAGCGTTTCATAACCAAATGGGAATGGAACTTACACGAGTAATTTTCTGCATTAGTCCAGGAAGTGTCTGTCATAGATTATGAGATATTTGAGATGTTATTTAACCTTTTGAGGGGGATATTAACATAAGTGTTGAAAGGAAATTTTATGAAAGGGTTGAAGTCAAATTATTCGAGCAACACTTTATCTGCTGAGATCGTGAGGATTGGAGAATTATGAAATTAGCATAGTTGGTTGAAGATAAAATTGTAATACAACAGACTAATAAGAGCAACACATGTGGAGTGCTATACTGAACTGCTATAATCACGATGGTACCAAAAGCGCAAACAGTGGAAGTCCAGAGGGAGGCTCCCCGGGATAGAAATAATGAATCTCGATCGAGCCGCCAAACCACTTATCAAAGATATAGATTTAAGAAAAACAAGTTAAGGGGTTATTTTTCGGTGTGATAAGAAGTTTGTCCCTGAACACTGTTACAAGGATCAAACATTATATATGCTCGATGTGTGACGAGGAGACTGAGGATGCAAAAATCGAAAAGGTTGCAGTAGACGAGGAGAAGCACCTTCACTTGGATGTAGCAGAAGTCACATCAAACTCCGGGTGAGGTTGACACCAAACATCACTATAAAACTTTGGGGAAAGGTTGGAGAGCAAGATGGTTGTGTTGGTAGATAGTTGAGACACCCACATCTACTCAAGGAGTGAAGCAATTGAGACTTGAGATTTTTGACACAGGAAGTTTTGGTGTCATGATGGGAACTGGACAGGTGGAGAAGAGCAAGGGAGTTTGTAAATGGTTAATTTTTACACTGCAGAGTATTCAGGCTATGAAGGACTTTCTTTCCTTGGATTTAGAGAGTATTGATGATATTGAGTACGAAATGATTTTAATTCTTAGAAGCGACTAAGATGAATTGGAAAATTTTGACCATGGAGTTTTAGGAGGGAGACAAAACGGTGGTGTTTCACGGTGACCCTAGTTTGTGTAATACCTTGGTGCCGTCGGATCCATTGAAGGTGTCAACTATGTTGGAGTGGTCACTACCTAAGACCTTGAAGGGGTTGAGAGGTTTTCTAGGACTTTCAGGATAATACAGGAAATTCATAAAGAGTTATAATTTGATTGTGTGGCCGTTGATGACAAAATTAAAGAATGATAACTTTCAGTGGGGAAAAGCGACGACCCATACTTTTGAGAAGTTAAAAAAAGTATGACGTCTGTACTAGTGTGGGCATTGTTGAATTTAAACCAACCATTCATTGTAGAAACAAATGCTTCAGGTTAGAATAGACATTCCTCATGTGGTGTCAACGATTCATTACTTATTTTAATCAAGTGTTGATATCGAGAGCCGGAATCGATTCAGTTTAGGAGTAGGAGCCACACGACTTGATCCAACAATAGTTTCATTTTTTTCCACGTTGAGGACAATGTGTCTTCTTAGATAGGAAGTAATATTAAACCGGTTTCTAAGGGTTAGTTAGTTCTTTGCATTAATTATTATTGTGGGCGTATAAATAGGGTTTATTAAGCTTAGGGTTATGCATATGTGATTGTTGTCTTGATTCTTAGGATTAGGGTTTAGAGAGATCCCCTGCCTTTCAAATTGTAGGTTTTAGGGCTAGGGTTTGGAAGAGATTGCCTACCTCTAAAATTGTAGGTGCTTATCTTTTATGTATTTCAGTCTTTATATGTCACAATCCCTAATTTATATGAAAAACTCTCTTGGTTCCTATCATCATTCTTAGGCGATTGATTCTTTTCTGTCCTCTTGAAGTCTCTCTATATCAATTAGAATATGATATCCTTCTAAAGGAGTATTAAAGGGAAGCTTAAGGTCCATATTTTGATCAAAATTATTATCAATTGAGGGAGATATTATGGGCCCATAGTCACTCCTCTCGCAAAAGCAATCCCTATTCATTATTTGTTTTTTTTTTGTGATTTTCACAAAAATTCCTTCATCTGTCATCAAAATTATAATTTTTAATATGATGGATCCATATTTTGATTATATGTAACTATTGTGATTACTATTTTGGCTGATCTTAATTTTATGAGGGTAATTTAGCATGTATCATTTCTCTGCCATTAAAATTGCACCATTTTTGAGTGGTGACTTTTTTGGTTGATTCTCTTCAGTATTGAAATTCACTGCCTTGGTTTATTTTTTTTCCATTAGAGATGATTCACTCATAAACTGAAAACTCAAGAAATAAATTCTAGAATCTCTCCATTTTTTTGGTAGTTCTCAATTGCTTCTCTATCTCTTATTAAAATTGCATGATTTTTGAATCTATAGGTTCTACCTTGTCCACTTTATTATTGATGGTTATCATCGGAGTCGATGTTAATTTGTTAAGGTGTGAATTGATTTTAAAAAAAAAAGAAAATTGGAGCGTCTCAACATTCTTTCAGTTGTATAAAATCTGAAAAAAGCTCAGGAACATTAATAAATTGCAATTGAAATCTGTTGACCGCAATTTAAATCCCTACTGTATCAAATTTGAGCAGAATCAGTTAAATTAATATATATACAGAAGAAACTCGTTAAAGAAAAAATTTCACCAAAATAAAGAAATTTATACCTAATGTTGGTACAAGAAGATGTTTGTCTCTGGAATTAGGTAGGCAGACTAGCATTGCTCTTGAAGAAATTACACATTAACTTGCTATTACATTCCTCCGGCCCTTTATTTATAGTCTCCTCACCCTAATCTTAATAGATATGGTTAATATAGAGATCAACCCAATTCAATTGTAGACCAACTTATGACTATTCCACAACTAACTCATATTTGAGATAGAAAAAGAGAACGCACATCTAGCTCCATCACAACGTCACTTAGAGCTCCTAAAAAGTTTGATCCTACACCAAATCATATAGACCAATCTGACATTATCAAGTAGGAATCGCATCTATTTCTGAAGGCTATCCACATAGTCATATTCTAAACTTGAAATTACCAAACAAAATAAACAAATAATAAAGTCAAATGAACTTTGCTTTTATGATTGATTGATTTGATGCTTTTGGTTAGCCTAAATTGTAACTAGATATCTAGGAGGCCATCAGCAAACCTTATCAGGTTACTTTGACGGGACTCTAAAACCAAACAGCAAGTTACTCCATTGAATCAAATAATTAGACACCCTTTTGGGTTTTAATTGGCTCAGATTCCTTTCATTAAGGCACAATTGCCATTTTTATCACGAAGGATTAGTTCTTTGTCTCCAAGCTGCAACCAATGAGCATGTCAACAAACTCGGTTGTTTTCGGAATGCCTTATTTTTTTTTATTTAGAATATTGCAGGGGAAAGCCATCCTTTTGGAAATTATAAGTTTTATTTTTATGCTTGGCTTCCATTTGCAAGCCATTATTTTATGGATTTCAGGATTGATTTGATGCTTTCAAGATGCCTAAACATGCAGATTTCTATCATTAGATAGCGGGGAGGCCATTAGTAAACCCTATTGGGTTACGTGAATGGATAGCACTCTCATATCAAACCCAAGTTACTTAATACGATAAAAAAAAAAAAAAAATGGACGCCTTTTCGGATTCGATCTGATTGGAATCCCAATTGTAAGGCACAATTGTTATCTTTACCTCTGAGGACTGGTTTCCAACATGTAACCAGCGAGGAGGAGCACGTCAACAATCTTGGCTGTTGTCTTCATGCCCTATTTCTATTTCTATAGATTGATGTAAGAGAAACCCAGACTGTTGCAAATGATAAGCTAGATATTTTCATGATCTGGCTTTCATCTATGATTTTGTGGATGTTAAAAGGATTGTCAATTTGAAAATATACTGATATGTCTATAGCTTTCTAGCTGTCTTTGCCCTTAAAACTAGTCTGTTTCGCTAGCAGTCGTTTTGATTTTATTCTTAGTCATTTTCTATTTTGCAAAAACCACTAGTCAGTGAAGAGAATGACATCCACATAGAAGAAGAATAAAGAATAAAGGAGGCTTGAGGAACCTTTATACCTTATTCTCTCCATCTGAATTCTATACCCTTCTGCCTGTAAAAAGGTTATAGAGAGCATAGAGAGAAACCAGCAATTCGTGTAAAACCAGCCCTGCTATCCTGTTTCTGTGTGCAGGCAGCCATGGGCTTGGCACTCTCTAGACTTGTCAAGCTGATGTTTGCGAGGCGGGAGATGCGAATTCTGATGGTAGGTCTTGATGCAGCCGGAAAGACAACTATCCTTTATAAGCTCAAGCTCGGAGAGGTTATCACCACCATCCCAACCATTGGTGAGTCCATAGTTCTCTGAAACTTTAGTTCTTGGAGGACAGGAAGTTGATTAAGTGAAACAAAAGTAGTTTTTGCATTTCTAATATTGATCTATTTAAAGCACGTATATTATTTATTATTATTATTTTTTGCCGTGAGTTAAGTAGCAAGCTTATTAGCAGCCAAATAAACATTCAAGTAGTTTTCTCTCCTTGTGTAAGCTTTTCTTCTCCTTGAGTAGGATCGTTTTCTCTAGTTTTCTGCCCCATTTAATAAGGTTAATGTTATCGTGGGTGAGGGTATAAATGCAGGAGCGGTAAAAAGAGATCTGGCTTTGTGAGGTTATTGGTTTGTGCTTGCTGAGCACCATATGCTGCAGAATCTCATCATCTTCTATTTTTGCAAGTTTTGTGTGTTGACGTTTTCATATTTTAGTTGTTACCTATGGCTATCCTTGCAATTGTTCCTGAATATTTATAAAACCTAGCTCCCCACTTCTTGGCTTTGGTTTCAAAATTTCAAACTTTCTCAAAATTTTGATGGTACAATATTTGAAATTCTAAAAAAATGTCTAGTTCTGACAGTTTAGATACTTGATGTTTCACTCTTATTTTTTGTACTTAAGATATATACATGTCTAGATATTCCAATCCTTTGCATAAATAAATTGGTGCAGGAAATACATGTCTAAAAACTAAGGTTCAGATTGCATTTGGAATTTACATATCTTCTTCTATTAGAAGATTCATATTTTGTAATCACTTGGACATATTTTAACTTTTTTCAAAAAAAAATAAGCTCAAACTGTTTTATTTTATCTCAAGAGGCCATTTGTTTGCCAGGCATATTCTTGCTCTTTTCATGGAAGCGAGGTTTTTATTCACATGTCCTGTGTCCAAGGTTTTGCTAAATGCTGACAATATTTAATAAAATTTAGTGTCCAGATTCCAAGTTTTTTTTCTATTTAAGCATTATACTCCATTTTCATCTTTTGAGTTGAATCTTTATTTTCTTTGGCTTGACCTAATTTTAAGAGTTCACTATGATAGGACTCGTCTGTTATTTTGGGCAGGTTTTAATGTGGAGACTGTGGACTACAAGAATGTTAGCTTCACAGTGTGGGACGTAGGTGGTCAAGATAAGGTGCTGTATTCAAACATTTATGTTTTATTGGTTCTTTCTGATATTGGTAAAGGACACCCATGTTGGGTAATGTGGAGACTCGGTCCACCGAATTTAATTAGCTTCTTAATTAAGCATCCCACCTACCGCTCACCTAACACATCCCACCTACCGCTCAGCTACCTCCCACCTACCGCTCTCATGATTTTTATAAATAGTCTCTTTTGGTTTAAAGGAAATGCAAGCCAAGTAAATTTGTGTGTCGCTCTGGTGTTTTTTCCCACCTACCGCTCTCATGGTTTCTAAAAACAGCCTCTTTTGGCTTAAAGGAGAAGTCAAGCCGAGCAAGACCAAGTCAAGTCCTCTTGAGAGATAAGAGAAAGAGAGGAAGAGAGAGGAAGATAGATGAAAAGAGAGATTTTCTTGTAAACATCGAGGCGCTCGACGATATAATTTCTCGAAGAAATAAAATCCTCTGCAACTCCGTGGACGTAGGCAAATTTGTCGAATCACGTAAATCTGTGTCGCTCTGGTGTTTTTCTGCGTGCAATTTTTCTCGTTCCCATTTTTCACTTTATTCCCGTCGTTTTTCACAACAACTGGTATCAGAGCTTTGGTTCGGATCTAAGGAAGAACGATGGGCGGAGACGAAGTGATGACATCGGGGATCGAGAAGTTCAATGACACAAATTTTGCTTACTAGAGGATGCAAATAGAGGACTACCTCTATGGGAAGAAACTTCATCTTCCGTTACTGAGAAAATGACCAAAAAAGATGGACGAGGCGGAATAGAATCTATTAGATCGATAGGTTCTGAGGGTTATACGATTAACCCTGTCGAGATCGGTTGCCCACAACGTCATCAAGGAGAAGACTATTGCAGATCTCATGACGGCTTTATCAAATATGTATGAAAAACCATCGACGAATAACAATGTGCATTTGATGAAAAAGTTATTCAACTTGAAGATAGCAGAAGGTGTGTTTGTTGCTCAACACCTGAATGATTTTAACACTATCACAAATCAGTTGTCGTCTGTTTAAATTGATTTTGATGATGAGATACGTGCACTGATTTTGTTGACACCATTGTCAAATAGCTGGGAAGCCATGAGGATGACAGTAATTCTGCAGGTAAATGCAAACTGAAATATGATGATATTCGTGATTTGATTTTGGCTGAGGAGGTGCGCAAGAAAGATTCTGGCGAAACCTCGGGTTCTAGTTTGACACTGATTGTTGATTCCAGAGGGAGATCACATGACAGAAACTCAAACCGAGGAAGATTAAAATCAAAATCTGGTCAGCAGACAACCTGCTGGAATTGTGGCAAGACTGTCCACATAAAAAGGAACTGCAGTAATCCTAAGAAGAAGGAGAATGATGACGGTAATGTTGTAACTGAAGAAATACAAGATGCGTTATTTATGACAATTTATAGTTCTGTTGATGACTGGATACTAGATTCAGGGGCTTTGTTCCATACATCTTCCCGCCGGAAATTAATGCAAAATTATGTTGCAGGTAACTTTGGGAAGGTACATCTGGCTAATGGAAAAGCTCTGGACGTGGTGGGGATGGGAGACGTTGATATTGCACTTCCTAACAAAAGCAAATAAATTTTGCAAAAGGTCAGACACGTTCCTGAGTTGAAGAAAAATCTCATCTCTGTTGGACAACTCAATGAGGGTGGTCATTCGGTAATGTTCTCAGATAACACCTGGAAGGTTACGAAGGTTACCAAAGGACTGGCTCAGGTGGGTAAGAAAACTGACACACTATATATAACTACAGGTTTAATCAGGTGTGGACACATGAGTCAGAGGTGCATTATGGGGAAGCAGAAGAATGCCCATTTCCTGAAAAGTGGCAGAGTGCCAAAGGCAGGAAAACCAGACCTTGTACAGACAAATGGTGGAGAACTACAGAGCTATGAAGAAATCTTGCAAGATGAGAATTCGAGCAAGTGAGAGCTGACCAAGGAGGAGACAGAGATTCCCTGCCGCAAGATGAATGTTCGAGTAAGTGGGAGCTGATAGAACTTGCACTAGGAAAGAAGTCATTGCACAAAAAGTGGGTGTACCGGGTGAAGACTGTGTTTGGTGGCAGTAAGGGGGACAAGGCTGGACTTGTTAAAAAAAACTGAAAAGGGCTTACAACAGGGGCAGGATATTGCTCATGCAGTGGGAGTTGTAAGCAGATACAAGGGTAACCCAGGAAAGAGCTTGGTGGTACGAGGTTACGGTGACGGTGATATGTCAACTGAGGGTGTTGCTCGTGAGAAGCTGAAGTTGTGCTCAACTTCAGCTAGTCTTCTGGCATGAAGACAAGGGCTTCGAGTTGTAGAGGTGGATGATATCATGTTTGAGGAAAAAGTCGGTACAGCTAGTAGATAATGCAGCTAGTAGGTGATGCATTCAGTGTCCCAGTCTCCAAGTGGGAGAATTTTTGGGTAATGTGGAGACTCGGTTCACTGAATTTATAGCTTCTTAATTAAGTATCCCACCTACCGCTCACCTATCACATCCCACCTACCGCTCACCCATCTACCGCTCTTATGGTTTCTATAAATAGTTTCTTTTGGTTTAAAGGATAAGTCAAGCCAAGCAAAGTCAAGCTAAGTCCTCTTGAGAGCTAAGAGAAAGAGAGGAAGAGAGAGAGAGATGAATGGAGAAAAGAAAATAGAGATTTTCTTGTAAACGTCGAGGCGCTCGATAGAGATTTTCTTGTAAACGGCGATGTGCTCGACGGTGTAATTCATCGAAGAAATAAAATCTTCTGCAGCTCCGTGAACTTAGGCAAATTTGCCGAACCACGTAAATCTGTGTGTCGCTCTGGTGTTTTTATGCGTGCAATTTTTCTTGTTCCCATTTTTCACTTTCTTCCCGTCGTTTTTCACAACAACCCATTTCTTTAGCTTCTCTTTCTTCAGTTTGGATATATAAAATTTTCCAAACACATTTATTTGATGCCTATATGTAAAATATGGCTGACTAGTCTATTGATGTTGAAATCTTGAAGAAGGTATAAAGAATTGTGATTTGTGCTCTTCCATTTGATTTATCATTTTCACAGCTCTTCTAACTTACGCTCAAGTCCTTTGATTTGATATCAAGCAAATGCAATCCTAGCTATAAGTTGGCCCAATTTGAGCCAAATTTTGTTCGTTATTTATTTTAGTTTGATTTTGTTCCTAGGCAAAATTTAGTTTAATCTTTATTTCTTTTCAATCTCTTAAAGGTATTCATTGTTCATTCTACGAAAACAACACCCACAAACACATACTCACATATAATGTAAATCATGTGCATTGATGATGTTGTAGTTTTGTTTTTTTAAGTGGTTTTTTTAAAGCATACCTATGATGATGATTCTACCAGAACGAGCTGTGTTTACTTTATTTTGGGTTATTTGCTATAATTAGTTCAATACTGCAAGGATTTGACTCATCTCCTTGAATTCCAATTTAGTATATCTAGAGTTTAGATTCAAGTTGACAATTTATGCCATGAGAATTTGAAGAATACCTGTTGTTGGATTGGCGCGCCTTGATGCATGTTATTGGTTTCCCTACTCTGTTACCAGTTCGTTCTTTTACACTTCATTGCTTCCTTTTTCTCTACTTATCGCTTTACTTCTAATTGTTGCCATATTTGACTCACACTCATTATTTTCCGCCACCCATTGCCTTTGCTACCTGCTACTCTCGCTTTTTTTTGTCATTCTTGTTGGCTTTATGAACTACCTTTTTTGTCCTATTCGTTCATTGTTGTGAAATATCTTGAAGTAAATCATGACTTAAATCAAGAGTGGGACTTTATGTGGGATTTTTGATGCTCGTGGAATTCATGAAGAATGCGTTGGAATTTGTGTTAAATAGATTGTAGGAAATTTCGTATTTTTGGTCCTTCGTGGTATAGATAAGGCCCATAAAATTATAGAATATTGAGTATTATGATATGTTTTCTAGTTTATATAATTTATTGTGTGCGTGTTTGTGGAAAGTGCTTTCATGGAGCGCTTCATAGGTGTTGATGACCACTTTCGAGGATGAGTCTCCTTATATCGTTGTGAGGTCTAGTTCTCCCTTTGGGTGATTTCTATCTTTTCCCGAATTTTATCTTATTTATATTTGTTGTAATTTTTTGTTGTGTAAATTTTACCATTTGTTAAAATTTATATGTTATTTTATTTTTTGTAGAATTTTAGATTTTTGATGCTATCAAATCATTATTTGGAAAGAAGGGAGCACATTTGCTGATTTTATATTAAAAATGGGTTTTTTTTTATTTTTTTATTTTTTTTTTTATGCTTAAGAGTTGGTAACTTGCATTTTTATAATTTTTATAATGTTATGAATACAAGCTTGTATTAGTAACCGTAAACCCTTAGTGAGTGTTTGGTAGCCCCTTTTAACATGTTTTATTGCCAGGTTTACTAAATTTGGTCAAATGCTAAAATGCAGTAGTTCCGTGGATTTATGAATTTTCATATTTAGTGTCTGAAAATTTACCTTTGATACAGCTAAAATCTGGATTTACTATATCCAGGGGTAGGGTGGATTTAACATATTTAAAATTTACGGATTTACTAAATCCTACTTGTAGCCAAACACCCCCTTAATCATCCTACATCAAATTGGTGTAAAAAACTATGGCTTTATCTTCTTGCCCATCAAAGTAGGACATATACTTGGTCAGTAAAAAATAATAAAAGATACAATTTAAACAAAATTGAAGCTATGATTCAAAGAGAATATGATATAACTTTTGGGAGGATCAAAATTGTATGCATACATTTGATGGGAGGCATAACCTTGAAATATTTTCAGAACAAATTAGTAACATAGAATTACTTATTTGAAGGATAAAATTAATATCTCATGTTTCTTGTCATTGGATAGCGTACTTGTCTGTTATGATTAATGATTACCTTGCAAAAGCATGTTGTTAATTTGTTATGTACATGAGAATTGGATTTTGCAAATAAAGAGTTGGGTTTTCTATGGGAGATTTGATGCAGTTGGAAAATTGGAATTCATAAAAGCATGTTAATTTGTTATGCACATGAGAACTGGACTTTGCAAATAAAGAGTTGGGTTTTCTATGGGAGATTTGATGCAGTTGGAAACTTGGAATTCATAAAAGATGTAATAAAGGTTGTTGCATTCAACCAGATTTTTAGTAATTATGAGAATTTTCTTATTTTGGGTCTTGTGAGGGTTATGAAAATGACCACTGAGGCTTGCAAAAATTATAGAATATTGAGTATTGTAATAAAAATTTAATTTATGTTTAATTATTGTATGTGTGATGGTCAGATGAAGTGAAAAATGTACATGTAATAAGAATTCTAATTGTCTGTCAATTCATTTGTGTGAATGCTGGATGTGTATTCTTCAAGTATTTCACATGAGTCGACAACAATTGGGGAGTCTCCTTGTACTTGAATGAGGTTTGGTTTTTATGGGTGATTTCTATCATTATTTTTGCTTCAATTTGTTCAGTGCATGATTGGAATTTTATCAAGCGTTAGATTTCTTTTTCATAATGTAAATTCCTTCGTTGTTGGTGTTTTATGACGGCTTATTATTTTTTTTATGGAATTTCATATTTCTATAAAAATTATATTAAAAATTAAAATATTTTCTAGACCACAAAATTTGATGAGAGAAAACTTGCGCCTAAATTATAGAACAGGCATAATTAAAATTCTATATCTATGTGAAGTAACTTAAACTATTTACCTAGACCTGAAAAAGAAAATATTGTTTCAGTACAACGTGTCTTGTTATTGAAGGTAATTTGTCTGAAAACACTGCAGTTTTGGTTCTTTTCCTTCTTATTAGAATATCTTGCGCGAATGTAATTTGATTTACACATTTACTTTAAACTTTTTTTATACAAGAATTGTTAAAAGACTGGAGTTCAATCTGTTTCATTTTTTTTAAACCATGTTTATGTTGCAGATTCGACCTTTATGGAGACATTACTTTCAGAATACCCAAGGGCTTATATTTGTTGTTGACAGCAATGACAGAGAAAGGATTCTTGAAGCTAGAGATGAGCTGCATAGAATGCTGAGTGAGGTTGGTACCTAAATTCTGACCCAACTCCTAATTTAAACAACGCTGCTAAAGGCACAAAGAAGTTTTACTTTAAATACAAACCAGAGTGGTTGCACATTACTTGTCAAATAATTGGGTTTACATCTTAAAAAGGGGTTAAAACATGCATGCATTTTTTCTTCTCCCTAGTTAAATGAGAAAATTAGTTTAACGATTTGTCAATATCATATTTTTCATATCACGCCAAATGCATGCGTTAATATTTATTAGCTGATCATAAATTTTCTTGTTAGTATTTATTTTAAAATTTCATATATTATTTCATAATTTTGATTTTCATGATGGTTGTTGAATAGTTTAATATTATATAATGTTTCTTCATATATTGGCAATTTGGAAAATTTTATGTGCTTTTTAATACTACAGCTACTTCTTTTTAATATAAAAGGCTATAAATGTTGCCTTATATTTATTGAGGGCAATGTTCTTTAAGTTAAGCATGGTAACATTATCTCTTGTGTGATCGAATGATTTTATGAGCCAACATGGCAGAGTATTTGTAATCGGATCAACATTTCCAACAACTACCTTTTCTAATCAGGGTGTCAATAAATGACACGGCATGGCAGACCGATATGAACCTAACCCAAGAAATTTGGGTTCGGGTTTTCCCAATTAAATTTGGGTTGGGTTCAGATAAAAAATTCTAACTCCTTTATTTTTCTTGTCGGGTTTAGGTTAACTTGCCAACCCAACTTTGATCCGTCAACCCGTATTTTTTTTTGGTCTAATCTTTTTTCTATTAGTCCATGGTTTGGTCACGTTAAACATCGACCATCAGATGACCTTGTTGGGAAAGTAGATATTTTAGATTTGACTTATGCTAAAAAAGATGGAGGTGGACCTAAAATGACTCGAGCATATAACAATAAAAACAAGCCTTTATCCCATTAAATGGGGTCAGCTACATGAATCTTTTTTCTCCATTTTGTCCTATTGAGTATCATATTTTATTTATATCTAAAAGATTAAGGTAATTTTTTATATAATAGACCCAAGTCTTCTTAGGTCTACCTCTGTCTTTCTTAACATAAGCTGAATCTAACAAATCTACTCTCCTAACTGGATCATCAGATGGTTGATGTTTAATGTGACCAAGCTATCTGAGACAACTCTCTCTAATCTTGTCAGCCATTGGAGTTACACTAATCTTTTCACAGATATATTCGTTTTGCAGTTTGTCTCTAAGTGTCAAGCCACTCATCCACCTAAGCATTCTCATCTCAGCAACACTTAAATTTGTTAGTGCTTCTTTTTTAAAGGCCAACATTTTGCGCCATAAAGCTATCACTAGTAAGTGGTTTATAATAAAAATGATTTCGCAGACTTAACGAATGTCATGCAATCTTTAATTTATTTAATCGAGTCTTACCAGTAAGTGGTGTGTCTATTCTTCGGGGTGTGTACTACTGAGGATATGAGATCGGTCCGGTCTTGTATTTTCCAAAATCCAAAATACTATTTTTTCCAAATTATATATATTAAATTAAATTAAAACGGGTGTTGGGATATCCATCATAACAACCGACAACTTCACAACTCCCAACTTTTTAGTACCGACACTAACAATCTATGATCTACATGATTCACAGTTCGTGCAACTTCAGACTCTGGCCTTTGCGACATACAGACATTATCACAACTCACAATTATGGTCTACGTGACCAACTACGACTTATATGGTCCACAATTTGTGCAACTCCCTACTCCAGCTTCTGCAACCTACAGAGATCATCACAACTCACTATTATAGCTTAGGTGATCTACTACGACCTACGTGGTCCACAGCTTGTGCAGCTCCCGTCTCCGGCCTTTGCGACCTATGGTCGCCATCACAGCTCACAAAGAAGACCTACGTGACCAACTACAACTTACGTGGTCCACAGCTCGTGCAACTCCCAATTCCGGCCTCTGCTGCCTATGAACGTCATCACAGCTCATCACACGACTTAAGTGAACAACTACAACTTACGTGGTCCACAACTCGTGAAACTCCCGACTCCACTTTTTGCGTCTTACGGACGACATCGCAGCTCACCATTGTGGCCCATGTGACCAAATACAACCTACGTAGTCTATAGCTCTTACAACTCCTGACTCTGGCTTTTGCTGCCTACGGATGTCATCATAATCACCACTACAACCTACATAACTAGCTACAATTTATATTGTTATAGCTCGTATAACTCTCGACTCTGGCCTCTACGGCTTATTGATATCATCGCAGCTCACCACTACGATCTATGTGACTAACTTCGGCCTACATGGTCCACAACTCATGCAACTCCCAACTTCGACCCTATAGATGTGATCACAAGTTATCACTACAACTTACGTAGCCAATTAAGGCTTGCGTGACTTACAACTCGCGCAACTCCTGAATCTCGCCTGTATGGTCTACGAACATCATTGGTGACTCATCACTACGACTTACATGGTCCACAACTCATGCAACTCTCGACTCTGACCTCTGCGGCTTACAGACGTCATCACAGCTTATCGCTACGGCCTACGTAACCAATTACGACTTATGTGGCGCTTATAGCTCACTCCGACCTCTCTGCCTACAAACGTCATCATAGCTCACCACCATGTACTATGTGACAAATTTTGGCATTTGTGGTTCACAGTTCGTGTAGCTCCCAACTCTTACCTCTACAGCCTAAGGACCTCACCACAACTCACTACTACGACCTATGTAATCAACTACAATTTACGTGATTACAGCCCGTCCAGCTCTTGACTCATACCTCCACAGTTTACGGACATCATTGTTGCTCATTATTAGGACTTATTTGACTAACTACGACTTAAGTGACTTATAGCTATTGAGCTTCTTACAACAGCCTTTTGGCCAACCGATGCTCCAGAGGCAACCATCAACGGCTCACATGACCAACTAGTATCATGACTTTCAACTACGACCTATACGATAAACAATTACGGCTCTTGTAGTCTGCTATCATTGAGAACCACCTTCATTACGACCATATTACTGCTATTATAGATGAACTATCATTCTACATTTACAATGGTCAACTTTATAATTCCATCTTCTCTAATTCAGGAGAAGAGTAACTGTGCTAGACCCTATAATTTTTTCTACTTTCAGGAGTTCTTCACGTAAAAATTGAGTTGTCTTCTCCTGCTAACTTCTTTTTTATTTTCCAAATGTGTGCTAGAGTCTCGTACAACGTTAAGACACTTAATAATTACATTGTCTTTGCGGGTCTTCCGACACATTAATTATTATTTTATTTAGCTTGTTTTTGGTCGGAACATGTGGGTAGCAACATCACATGGGGAAGCAAGGAATAAGCGGTGGCTTTACTATTTTTTCAGAAAAAAAGATTTTGATTGATTTTTTTTTTATATGCCTCAAAATTTGTGTGCAAGACCCAAGCTAAGGGTGTCCCTTTTGGGTAAGTTGAACGTTCTAGACGCATCAGCGCAGTCTGTTTTATTGTCAGACATCATTTGGATAATTCTTATGGCCGATCGAGCATCATTAACCTCAATTTGCATGTTGTGAGCTCCCATCCAAATGCATGGCAATTTAGGTGTTCTTTATATAGGTAGACTGGACGTTCCAGACTCATCGACGTTGTCTAATTCGCGATCAGGCATTGTTTGGATAATTGTCGCTGGTCGAGTCACCTTGACCTTAATTTACGTGTCATTGCGTTCATGCCCCATCATTTTCATAACACTTGATTGAATTGATCATTTAAAATCTTCTCCTCGAGTAATTCTAATATTTTTGCCATCTATTTTGTGTAGCAAGCGATAGTTGCACGAGTTTACTCGTAATTATAGTGCCTTGACTTAAATCCATGTTACGTTCCGTCTTCTGTTCGCGTTCCGTCTTCTGTTCGTCACCCTCTTGGTTCGCTTTCAGTTAATTTTTATTCCGACATGCATGTCAATATTAAGCCTTCCTATTTTTCCACAAATTGGACTTGTAGTTTTATCAAATCAAAGGCCATTCAATGCTTACACCGTCTTTTTTGTTTTCTTAGGGTCCGTTAGGGATCACCTCTATTTTTTTCCTTTTTATTTTGTTTTGTTTATGTTTTGATTTGAAAGAAAACATATTTGACTATTTGATTAAAGTATGATTGTTTTTAAAAATACTTAAAACATCTAAAAATTATTGTGAATGTTTTCAAAAACATGTTATTTGTATTTAGAAACAAAAAATAAAAATATGTGAAAAAATCACTGATCAAACATGTTCTTAAAAATAAAATGAGAACAAAAATTAAAAAGAGAACAAAAATAAAAACGAAAATTGATCCCAAACAAATTCTTGGGGAGCTATTATTAATCACATTGATAAACTTGGCACACTAAGGGGCCATTTGGGATCACTTTTATTTGTATTATTTTTTTTTTTTTAATATTTTGATTTGAAACAAAACCTTGTTTGACTTCTTTGATTAAGATATGGTCGTTTTTAAACATCCAAAACTATTAAATTTTGTTGCAAACGTTTAAATCTTAATTTGCATTTAAAAATAAAAAAAATAAAAAAAAACATAAAAAAATCAAATATGTTTTTAAAAACTAAAGAAAAAACAAAAATAAAAACAAAAAATAAAATTTTTCCTAAACAAATCCTAAGGTTTCAGGAGTGAACTTTGATTTATGTTTGTATTAGCATGCATGAAGTATTTATATATGACAGCAGAATGATTTTGAATAAAATTATTTGCAGTGTAACTCATGACAACCGACCTTCTTGTAGAGTTGTTTAACATAAACATATCTCGCTGCAGATTAAGGCCTATGTGCATGCTTTATAGAAATGGTGATGCTGTCTTCCACACAAACAATTATGAGATTTTTAGATTGCATTGATTTTTCCTTCTTGGCACATATATTTGCAGTTTACAAGTTCTATTTTTTCATTACTATTATTTTTAAATCTTTTTTTAGGATGAATTACAAGGTGCCACTCTGCTAGTATTTGCCAACAAACAAGATCTTCCAAATGCAATGAGTATTTCTGAAGTCACTGATAAGTTAGGCTTACATGCTCTTCGTCAACGCCGCTGGTACTATCTTCACATTTTAATTTATTTTATAAAGCATTTATATGTCAAAATATACTTTTGATTCTAATTCTAAATTCTTGAAGCACATATATCATCATCATCATTATATTTATGAAGCACAAATTTATGTTAGATGTAAACATCTCAATTACTAATACACCATAATTACGGACAAGAACACACATTTGACATATATGGAATCACCTCTTAGCTCCATTTCTTCCCTTTTGTAAGCATGCCAACATCACAAATAGAAGCTGAACTGAAAAAAAAAAAGAGGATGATTTACATATTTATCACACAGTTCTTATGTATTTACATATCTACTTTAATTTTTACATGTATGGCACCTTATCTATGGATGAAAAGGTGTATTTTTACATTTTAAAGGTTAAATTAGTGGTATTTTTAATGTAATATGAAAGGTTTGGGTGTTATAAATGGAAAATGTAAACTTTAGGTGTTGGATATGTAAATACATATGAATTGGTTGGTATGAATTTAAATGCCCAAAAAAAAGCATGAAGAAGATGTGATTCAAGAGTAATTAGCAACATTAATATATTTTTCAGATTACCTTCAGTGATATTTCTATTAGAAATGAATGAAGGCGATTCTTCTCACCCTTGAAACAAATTCTGTAACCTGCTTAGTAAAATAGCTTGTTTGAAACTCGTTTCTAACATGAGAACGAGTAATTTATCAGTGAAGATTATGCAATAGACATTAATATTGTTGGTTCTTTTCCTTAAAAGGTATATTCAGAGCACTTGTGCTACTACTGGGGAAGGACTATATGAAGGCCTTGATTGGCTTTCAAACAACATATCCAGCAAACCAAAATAAATAACTTCCTTCTACTGTCTGCTTTATATGCTGTGTAAGGTGAATCTGGCATATCTACTTAAAAATTTTATGCTTACTCCCCTTTATGTGGAAAATTGATGCTTACTCCTCCTTATGTTTACAAATCAGAACTTATTTTTATAATCTTTTGTGATTTGGAAAAAAACTTGAATGGCTGAAGATTGCTGTAATGTTTTGCTTAGGAACTACTCTGCCATGTTTCCTTTATTTGTGTTGCATAAGGTATGCCATCCACCCACTGTTTCTTTTATGTTTTCTGTTGCTTGGGGAAAATATTGTAACAAAATATCCTGATAATGATCAAATTTTGTCTTTATATTTTGACTTTATATATATATATAAATTATCAAATTTTGTCTTTATATTTTGACTTGAATCTGTTTTCCTCCCCCTTCTCTTTGCGCGATACTGTTGCTTCTTCTTTTTCTTTGCACATAGAGAATGCTTGACCCACACACTAGGTTCAATCCACCGGTGGCAGTTGATTGGTCGAGCCAACGAAAAGGGTTGATTGAATTGATCAACCCAGTGGTGGCTGATCGTTCAAGTCAACGAAGGTGGTCGATCGGGCTGATCGACGGGGAAGCGTCAGTTGGACCAATCAGACCGGTGGAGGTCGATTCGTCGAGGTGACGAAAAGGGTCGATCAAATAGATCAGGCCGGTGGCAGTTGATTGTTCTAGTCGACGAAGGTGGTCGGTTAGGCTGATGCGGGCGGCTGATCGACCGGAAAGGATTGACCAGACTGGCTGGGGGGGGGGGGGCGAAAGGTCAATCGAATTGATTGGGTTGGTGGTGGCTGATCATTCGAGTCAACGAAGGTGGTTGCTCGGGCTAACATGGGGGGCCAATCAACGAGGAAGAGACGAACAAAACGATCAGACTGGTGGTGGTTTATTGGTCAAGCTGACGAAAAGAAAACATGCAATAGTGATATTTTAATGCAATTTAAAAAAGAAAATCATGCAATGCACTCGATCTAAATATGAATGCATGCATAAAATGAAAGTTCAATCATGCTCTACAATGAAAACAAGCTTGTCCTAATGACCTCACGGGTTTTCCTAAGGGAAAAGTAATGGGGCAAAGTGAGCACCGCTACAAAGCGACGACAACCACCTCCGTTTGCCTGACACAAAGAAACTTCGCGGAGGAAAAATTTTTCGTGGTGTAGGG